AGATATATGCAAGGAACAACTGAGAGCTAAACAGAAGCCTGTGCTGTTACCTGAATTATGAGTAGTTCTGCTGAAGATGCTGGCTTGCCACACAAAAGCAAGCTGGAGTTTTCTTGTGCACTACACAAAGACAGAGAGAACACGATTTCCCAAACTAAAGCTCTTCTAAACTTGTCTTCCTTTTTACTTTCAAATTCTCCATCACTGTTAGCACAGCTTCAGCTCAATTATTGCAGACACTTTCTTTGCTGCCCTTGCTATTTTAGGGTGAAAGAAGAATGTCAAAAAATGTTTACATTGCCCATTTTTTCATATTCCTTTTATGAAAGGGTCATGATTGGAAACAATTTTGAATATTACATGTTTTCAGGAGGAATTTACAAGAGGGTGTCAGGCCATACAGAGGGGCAGCCAGTCCAAAGGACCAACTGAGGAATGAGACAAGAGAGTTCTCTCCTGAAGAGAACCTCTCACCTCAGGCAGTCCTGAGGGCTGCTGAAGGAAAGGCAAAAGAAACAAGAATAGAGAGACAGGCTGCACACAATGCAGCTTTAAACTGCTAAGGTGCAGACAAGCAGCTTAAACCTGATGTAGAAGAGAAGTCACTTGAGAGGGGCTAAACATTGGCAAGCACCAAAAAAGAATGAAGGGCTTCTGAAGCTGCATTTTAAACTGACTCAAGGGGAACTGGACTGGCACATTGAGTGGCATGACATTTAAAGCTTTGATAGAAGCTAAATGCAAACATTTCCCTGGGCCCATGCCACTGTTCAGCATATAATCCCTTCTGGAATATAAACAAGATCCATCTCAAAACCTCTCCAGTATTTCCCCACCCCTCTCTGTGCCACTGGGTGTTTCCCACATATTCTAACAGCAGGATGGTTCTCCAAATTTCTGCAAGAAAATTTTATTGGTGTAGTAGATACTCAGTTGCTCTCGTGCCATCAAGGTCCTTTATCACAAGCTTCTGCTTCCCTTCCATTAATCCCCTTCTGAGTTTGCAGATGGAGTCCGTACCTACATAGCTTTCATTTCACTTGACTGGTCAAAGCAGGATCTCCTTTATCTCTGACAAGGCAGGCTCACTGTACATTCAGACCACCCTGTTAGCTCTTCTTAGCACCTCGTGCAATTTCAGTTACTTCTGCTTCAAGATGAGTGATGAGGACATTTCAACTCATCATAACTTGTTGTGAGATGACACTAATATTTTCATTAGATCTTTCAGAACCCTCTCCACTCAGGCATCCTAAGGTTAGGTTTTACTTTTTCCATTGCTACATTACTTTGGCAGTCCAGGTGAATATTTCCTTTATTTCCCCCCGAGTTATGAGAACAAATCTTGCATACATTATGTGTGAATATGAGGATTGATTAATTAATTAAAACATCATTCCAAAGCCTCAATTGCATTAATTTGCAATACCAACATTTTTGCCGAATACAGAACAGAGGGGAAAAGGGCAGCTGTGGAAAGAGAGACTGGGTTTCCATTCATGCAAATTTCAAGAAAGCTGCTACACATCCACACAACACCATCAACCATCTGAAAGTTAAAGTGGATTCTCAAATTTTACAATAGTAATTTTCAGTCTGTGATATGCAAATAACTTCCAAGAGGTCTAACATACATAATTAAGAAAAATGGGCCTACTGACAGCCTACTGAAAATGATTCCACTGAAAAATTATTAGTGGTCTGCAAATTGAAATAAAATTGAGACTCACTTCTTGCCTTATTTGGGTATCTTACTTGCATGTGGTACTTTGAGGACAGGGCACAGTTCTGATAAGCACTCTACTTATGATAAGTAAAACTATCAGCTCAATGAAGTTACTGAATATGTTTAGCTCATGAATAGTTCTACTTTTGGAAGAAAGAGAGTAACTTTTACATCACAACAACCCAGAACAGCAGACCGAAACCTGTAATGTATGTGCACAGTAGCATTCTAGCTCACCTTTTCCTGCATCTCCTTCACCACACATCTAATCCTGGTTTCAAATGCTGCCAGGTAAAAGTCACAAGCAAGTGAGGACAGTAATGAAGGAGAGATGTTTTTTTTTCATGTTATTTGTCGTGGTTTAAACCCAGCCAGACAACTTGTTCACTCACGTCCCCCCCTTCTTGCCCTCCCCCTACTCCTGTCCCCTCCCTCCCAGAGGGGCGGACAGGAGAATCGAAAAGAATGCAGCTCCCCCGGGTTGAGATAGGAACAGTTTAGTAACTAAGGTATAACACAAATCACTACTGCTACCACCAGTAATAACAATGATAAAGGAAATAACAAAGGAAGAGAATACAACACCTCACCACCAGCCGACCAATAACTTGCCCCCCCCCCCCCCCCCCCCACCCCCGCCCAAGCACCCACCGATACCTCCTCCAACCCCGCAGTCTCCCAGCCCTTCCGGGTAACTCTCAGTTACATCCTGGGCATGACGTGCTGTGGTATGGAATACCTCTTTGGTCAGTTTGGGTCAGCTGTCCTGTCTCTGCTTCCTCCTGGCTTCCCCTCCTTCCTGGCAGAGCATGAGGCTCACAAAGTCCTTGGCCAAACCAGAACATCCTTGTTATCAGCTCTGTTCCCAGGCCGAAAGTCAAAACACAGCACTGCACCAGCTACCAAGAAGGAGAAAAATGACTGCTGCTGCTGAACCCAGGACATTATTAAAGAAAAAAATCCCAGGATATCTCTCTTATATTATCTCCATGTTGTCTTTTCACTCTAAAGAAATAGAGCTGGAGCAGGTAGACTATGCTATGGATAAGAATAATACAGTTTTGAAGCTGTCAAGACAAAAAATAAACTGCTTTCTCTTTCTGATTACATTCTGAATAAATTTTTGATACACTGCTTAAGTTCCATAAAGCAGTGACCTGCACCTTTAGAATTTAGAGCGGTCAAGGAAAAATAAGTGACATTTCACCCCACTCACACTGAGTAGTTACTAAAGGAACTACTAAGAATGGAAAGCATGGGACTGGGCTACTTCAGTTGAATTCATTAATTCAGTAAGATTTTTAGTATCAAGTGAAAACTAAACATTAAAAGTATCCCTTTCTCCTCTGACCACATTAATGCTTCAGGATCTAAATAAAAATGTGGCTGTTCTCATGCGGATCTGAAGGAGGGCCTAACTGAGGCAATTCTAGTTCCCTTCCCCCTCCTCCCATGGCTGCTGGGACAACACACTACCTACGACCACTGTAATATACGGTACACTGGCATGATGTATAGCCTACAGAATCACTATGTCAGAATATTACCACTTTGTCAGCTTCCCACTCCTCCCTCTAGTCATAAAATGCACAATGTGGGAAGATAAATGCAGATCCAAGTGCCTAACCACAACTGGAATTCCTGGTATGCTGTACTGCCCAATAAAACAAATTATAAAACATCAGGAATAAAGAGATATTTAGTTGCTAAAGATATTAGCAACTAAATTCCTCAGTTTACAAAGACTAGTCATGGACAACATTAAGCCTCAATCCATTCCAAGGGGCAAAGTAGAGAGCATGCCATCTCACCAGAAAACCTGCATTACTGCAGACTGGTGCCATAAAAACAGTGAAACTTCTGATAACTTCAGGTAAGAAAAAGAAACATCTCTATAGTCCTGCTGAATCTCAAGTCAGAACAGGTCAAATAAAATTAACCAGTCACATAAATCTTGATTTTAGAAAAGAAGTCATAAATTATACAGGAGGATGAAGCCAGGAGGGGTCTGGTCTCTGCTCCCAAATGGCCTCAAGCTGCACCAGGGGAGGTTTAGATGGAGATGAGGTGCAGTTTCTTCACCAAAGGATGCTCAGGCATTGGAACAGGCTGCCCAGGGCAATGCTGGCTGGAGTCACCATCCCTGGAAGTGTTCACACACTGTGTAGACCAGGCCCTCAGTGCCATGGCTTAGTAGTGGCCTTGGCAGTGCTGGGGTAAGGGTTGGACTTGATGATCTAAGAGGTCTCTTCCAACCTGGTTGATTCTATGATTATATGACTATTATCTAGTATTATACCAGTGACCTTAACCAAAAAAAGGTCACTCCAAAATAAAGCCAATACTAGGGCCAAAACAGTAACACATTATGGACAAGGTGTTCCTAAAAAACACCTGCTCCCAAAGCACAGCATGCTGTGCTCAAGCAACTTTGGTAACATTCGTCCCTCACTGTCTTCCAGATGCCCTCCAAGAGACCTTTCAGGATAAAAGGCTTTCTCAACAGGATCTTTGGAAAAGAGGAGTATAGTTATGAAAGGACAGGATAGGTCCTGTGACTTACACGTAAGTGGGAAATAATTTTCATCAGTTTTCTGACAAGCACTAAAACTAAAGATGACCTGATAAAGTGGGCATTTTTAATGAAATACCAGTCTGTTAGAAGAGCTTTTGACAGTGCAGCTCCAAACTCAGCTCTGATTTATAAGCTGATAAATGTAGCCACGTCAGAATTTTAACCCAGAATTAAGCATCCCAACCTGTGTTACACATTAAAATAGCACTTACTACACACAAAACCACATCCATAACCCAGAACTAATTTTTGTCTCTATATTACCACAGATTTACATTTGACTTCAGTTATTAGAAGAAAACAGCATCAATTTGAATTTAACTTTATGCCAACAGCACTGATTTATTTAGTTAGTTAGTTTAATTATACCTTTTTCTTTACTTTCCTTTTGGCTGTTTTAGAGTCCCCCAGAACTCCCAACATATGCGATATAAACCTGCCCCATCTCCTCTGCTCTCTTCACATGCCTTTTCGCTTCTCTCGCAGCCATCTACCCCAGTCCTATTACAAGCCCCCGTAACGGCGTGAGGATCCGTACTGCACGCTCCCAGGCACAGAGTTGTACTTCTGGCAATATATAAAGGCAGCGACTGCATCCCAACTCCTGAAACACGCACAGATTACCCTGACAAACGAGACTTTTTTTAAATCTGATGTCTTTCGGAGACAGCAGTTAATTTGCTTTCACGAAGGAACTTGACAGCTTCACTCCCGAAGCGAACCGTCCGTCAGGGCAGCCTGGCAAACAAACCCTCTCCTGACGGCTTCTCTGCGCCCAGCCTAGTCTTTGCTTTTTATAGACATGGCTTCATGTCATTCTAGTTTGCTTCACCCCTCCACCCCAAGAGTGTAACCGCAGCTAAGCAGCGGCTGTTAAACTCTCCACAACAGCAAGAAAATTCCCGAGCACTTTTCCCAGCTCAACACCCGACTCCCTCTGCACTCCACTGCATTACAAACCCCACCGACTTACAGAGCAAGCCAACTCCGAGCTCGCTCGCACCCCGGACCCTCACTGCCGCCTGGCACCGCTCCGAGCGCCGGGGAGAGGAAGAAGCGCACGGAAGCGTAGGTGAGAGCCCGGCTCCGGGATCGCCCGCAAGTTCGGCTCACTGCTGCGCAGTCCTGTGTTCTTCCGCGCCCGCGTAGGGTGAACCCGAGGCAGATGCTCCGCAGAGCGGAACGGCAGCACCCGCGTTACCCCGACCGCACTCACCGCTCTGCTCTGCTCCGCTCCCCTCCCCGCGCCGGGCCGCAGCGGCAGCACCTCCCTCCTTCTATGCCTCGCTCCTTCCCGTTGCGGGGCGGAGGCTCCGCGCCCGCCGGTGCCCCGCACCGCCCCCCCCCCAGCATCACGCGGCCTCCCGGCCGCCCCTCCCCAACAGCCAGCGGCTCCATCCGCAATGCAGCTGCGGCCGCGGCTCCTCTTACTCCTCCTCCCGGCCCGAGCGGGCACCTGCCCCCCCCCGGATCCCAACTTACCCACGGGCGGACGGAGGGTGAAGAGGCAGCGCGCCTAGGCGCACGGCCAGAGTGTGGTCAGGGAGCTCCTAGCGCTGACCTCTGTTAGGGGTGTGAAACAAGGAAAAGGGATGGGGGGGGGGGGGTGTGTAAGTGAAAGAGAAGGAAAAGAAAAAGGAAAAAATAAAATAATAAAAAAGGACAAAAAGGGCGTTATTCCCAAAAGGACTTTCGCAGGCTGCTTCTCTCCCCAAACCTATTACTGCGGCGGACCCATGGGACCCGGCGAGATTAATTGTGATCCGTTATGAAGAAAATGATAGATGCCGTTAATCAGGGATGTTGTAAGTCATCCGCATTCGTAGATGGAATTCGGAGATTAGCTGGGACAGATGGCAGGCAAACAGAACGCTCTCCAGGTCTGGCGTAAATCACTCAACTTCTGGAATTATTAAAGAACCAGTGACAGAATCTCATGCATTTTCTTAAAGAGAAGTGTTTCTTAGGAAGATGAATATTCACTCTGTATTATGAAAGAGCATTTCCAATCACTGGTACAGTTCTCTTTCTCAATGATGAAAGTACAGGTTTTTTTTTCCTGGATGTCAGAAACTTCAAACATGAAAAAGAAACAAAATTTTTCACTCAGATTATCTTTCAGCCAGGCAAACTACACAAGTACCCAAATCACTGCTTTAATGCCCTTTCTGAAATACACATGCAAAGTTGCAAGTTAATAGGTGCATTGTGATATCTCCAGTACATTTACCTTTACTTGCAGGAAATACTGCAGCAAAATATTTATTTTTCAGTTTTATTTTCATGTACATTGAGGGAAGCAGTGAATCAGCACCACTTTTAGTCACTGCTTCTGAAAGAACATTAGACATTCTGCAGGATCTAAATGCTCCAAGTGGAGAGTAGACCTCTTTTCATTAGTCTTCACTAAGTTTTTTTTCACACAGCAAAAATGAGTTATGATATGGGCAACTTGAGTCAATCTTTCATGGTATCACATTGATTAATACGTCAAGTGCTTGTCTAAATATAAGCTTAGCACCAATATCTATGGCTGAGTAATTGTGAGCTTGATTGCATGTCTGCAATAATGTGATCAATCTAGAGTGACATTCACAGTTTTGCAGAAACCTGCTCTATAAATTCAATAATAGCACCTATTCTAGCACATGAAAGTGACCACAGTCCAAAACATAATTTACAATAGTTATTAAAAAAATAGTCAAATGTTAACCTCATATGTGTAAACTGTTTACTATGCTAACCAGTTTAATTTTAATAATTAAAAACTTATTTAGGAAAAATCATGTTATTTTTATTCTTTTTAAGAAAAGCAATGTACAAAATATCAAAAGTGCTGCTTTTTTGTTCTTGTTGTTTAAATTACTGTCAGCATTTGGATTTGCTGAGGACTGTACCTTTAGTCATCTTCAAACTCCTTCAGTATCTGATACAGAAACAGTCCCGCACACAAGTATGATCTTTTCTAACTTTGGTGGAAAATCAGGCTTAAATTATTTATTTTTAAAATCAAAAGCTCAAAATAACACTTCAAGCGGAGAACCAGGCCATTGTTATGACTTAGAGATATCATGATATACAATCAGAATAATTTAGCTTGGGGAAGACCTGTAGAGATGATCTATTTCAACCCCCTGCTCGAGGCTACACAACTTCAAAGTCAGATCAGCTTCCTCGGCATCTTGTCCAGCCAAGTGTCAAAAATCCCCAGAATGGAGATTCCAAATTTTCTGGGGAAACTGTTCCATTTCGACTACTGTTTATTGTAGAGAATGCTTTGGGTTTTCCTAATAAGAATTTCCCTATCCCTTTTCAATAAATCTCGCTGAATTTAATATTATGAAGTATTATAAAGTAAAACTTACTCTCCATTTCTCCATTACATAAATTCTGTGGTCTTTCTCTCTACATACTGAGATATATATAGGATGTATATATCCTATTAAAAATACATATATACCTTATAAGGTATATAGTCTTAAGCAGTCATGTTTTAAGGAATGCCCATTTCACACCAGGAACAAGCAGGCAGGTATATCTGAAATCTAATATTTGGCTATAATGAAAAAATCACCATCACATTCTAAACAAATCTAGCAGCCTCACAAGATGTGTTTGTAATTTGGTTTGTGTGGGCTTTTTCAGGCCCTTTACAGGAAATCAAGGATGAGAATTGAACTCAATGAGAAACAGGAAAAAAAAATTCTCCTTAAATCTGTGAAGAACTTGTGAAAACTTTCAGAGGTTTTGTAATGATTCAAAAGATACAAGAGAAAAAAATCTCCCCTCAGGGACTTGACAAGAGAAAATACATGTTCATAGTGAAGGAATTAAACCATTCAACAAATTGGAGTGGGATAAGGGAAGTTTTTGCCTCAGTTCAGCAAAGCTGTGATAAATTGACTGAGTTGTTACTATTTTACATATTCTATGCCTTATGTGACATTAATTAGCTATTTCAGTGGACAGAAATCTACCAAAGAAAGCACCAGCACAGCAGACCCTAATTGGCATTCCAGTTCACAGTCTGTGTAGAAAGCCTTAATTTTCCAGCACTGTGTGACCATGGACAGCACACACAACTATACCATTGATTACAATGAAGCTTTTAAGGCAAAAATGATGGAAGTGCAGATATTGCCCTCACCTATGATGCAACACAGAGCTTATCTGCTGTTTTCCAAACCACAGTCTTCTAGGTTTCCCTTAAAATAAGAAAGACGTTCTAATTATTTTTCCTTCCTTATTTGAAATGTTATTCCCAAGACAAAGTAAAGAAAACTAGTAACTTTTTAATTCAAGGACTATTACTTACAGCAATAATAGAGCAGTTTGAAGGCATTGCCTTGATACTTTGGCCACACATTCTAGAGCAGAAGAAACACAAAAGAATACCTAATTTTATATCTATTTAGGGATAACTCTGGTTTTGCAATAGAAACAAAACTCTCTTGTGTCACATCTGAGATATCCAAATTATAATGCCTTCCTCTTGTTAGTTCTCCCAACAGATTTACATCCTTGAAAAGGCTATTGCTGAAGAGTTTTCCTAGAACATCAGTTGAATTGTTAACAGTTCATTTGATCTACTAGAAATAGATTATAAAAAAATATGCTTGAATGGAAGCATTTGTACATTCCCATTCAAATACATTTTTCTGTGTATCCCCTAAAAACCGAACACTTGAAAGTACTGGAATATAAATTTCTCATTGAGGAAAGTTCTACCATACCATAAAGGGTTACTTTTTGTAGAGATACCATGATATTTTATCTCTACCACTAACTCCAGCAATACTATGAAGTTCAAAGCAATAAATATTTCCAGTGGTCAAGAGTTAGAAATCTGGAAAGCTTTGTAGGAACAGGAGGAAATACTGGATTGCACCTGGAGGGAAAGGGGCAAAGAAGAGCCTGAAATCATGTTGCCCAAGAAAGGGGTGGACAGAAGGGCAGAACAGTGATGGGGTGTGCAAAGTAGCTGCTGGAAGCTGAGAATTATATGCATGTAACTAAAGCAAGAAAGTGTTTTCAGGGCAGAACTAGCTAACTTTTTATTTTTTTTAATCCACATGTGGATTCAGCTTCTCAGGTAAATTTATTTTGCCTAAGGCCTGCACGCTCTGCACTTAAAAGCTCTGTTCAACAAGCAGTGAAAATTTTATTCAGATCAATGAGGTTAATAGGACCATTCTAACACTTCATGCTTTAAGAAATTGAAAGAGGAAATAAAGTTATGAGCATCCACTTCAATTTATACCTGTGTTCCTCTGTGCTTGCCATACCAATAAGCACATGTGGTCTCTTGAAGGAAATCTTAGTATTATAGAATCATCGAATGGTTTGGGTTGGAAAGGACCTTAAGATCATCGAGTTCCATCCCCCCTGCCGTGGGCAGGGACACCTCACACTGAACCATGTCACCCAAGGATTTGTCCAACCTGGCCTTGAACACTGCCAGGGATGGAGCATTCACAGCTTCCCTGGGCAGCCCATTCCAGTTCCTCACCACCCTCACAGGAAAGAATTTCCTCCTTATATCCAATCTAAACTTCCCCTGTTTAAGTTTGAACCTGTTACCCCTTGTCCTATCACTACAGTCCCTAATGAAGAGTCCACTGTCACTCATAATATTTTGGATACTTTCCTATGAACAGGACAGGACAGCATACAGCTGTTGCAGCAGGCCTGTAGGAATGTCAATTGTCAGTCATGAGATAGGACAGGTCAAAGTCTACCCTACCTTTTAGGGGTAGGGTACACGAAGCATTGAAATCACAATGCAGAAGACTGCATTGTTGCAGTATAGCATATTGTCCATTCATTCCTCCCTCTGAGATCTCCAAGTTGTAGCTAATCTAGGTGTACCTAAGGAGAGCCACTGAATCTTTTCTCTTTTTTCATCTACAGTATTTTATTAGAAATTACTTTCGAAACATCAGAGCTCTTGTGTGTATACACATTTTTAGGCAATGTACATAGTTCTTTATGAAATATGAATTACTGTCAGATTTGTTAAACTATTAAAGAAATGTTATTACTTTCATGAAAAACTTGATGTATTTTTACAAA